AACATTTTACTGAAATTTAGCTTTTGCTTAAATTATTTAAAAGCATTCTTTGGAGAACAGGGTCCACGGGCTCTACCAGATTGCCAAAGTTCTGCACGAAATAATCAAAAGTTAAGGGTCTCTGTTCTGGTGAGATCTGGAGATGAGGAATAGATGAGAGAAATGTATCATCCCTGGGGAGGATGACAAAAAAAATGGGCACTCGGTCTGCTTCCAGCAAATGAGTTGGGCTTCCAGAACCTCATTCTTCCCCTTTCCTTCTATGGGTCCCTCTGCCCAGTCTGGGTCAAGATAACCAGCTTCCTCCCAGTTCATTAAGCTCCCTCCTTCCACTAACAGATGCTTTGTTTTCATTTCCCAAATCAATTCAATTCAACAAATATTTATCAGACACCAAACCTGGGCAAAGCATTGGGATCATAAAGATAAAAATGGCCAACGTCCTGCCCTCAAGGAACCTAACCCTATTTTACGAGGGCCTGAGATAGAAGGGAATGGGGCATCACTCCTATGGTTCTTTGAATATGACAGTGTTCACGTTTGCTGATTTTTGCCAAGTTAATGATAGTAAAATAAAAAATGTTGGAAAAATAAATACATTCATTATATACCTCAGAATTCTTAAAACAACTTGGAAATAACAGAAGCTCACAGTTTTATATGTTGTTATTGTTCAGTCATTTCAGTTGTGTCCAAGTCTTCGTGGGGTTTTCTTGGCAAAGATCCTGGAGTGGTTTGCCATTTTCTTCTCCAGCTCATTTTACAGGTGAGAAATCTGAGGCAAACAGGGTGAAGTGACTTGCCCAGGGTCACACAGCTAGTAAGTGTCTCAGGCCAGATTTGAACTTAGGAAGTTAAATCTTCTTGACTTCAGGCCCAGTGCTCTATTGGGCCATCTAGTTGCCCACTGTTTCATACAGAATCCTTTTCTCAGTTCTCTGTATGATGAAATCTTCACAATTATATATAATAAATAAGAAAGTTTGAATTTTTAAAATTCTTTTTTTTAATTCTTAGGTAAATAAAAAAACAAAAGGGAGCCCCTCACATAATCTAACCAGGATGCTTCAGAAACACAAACCAAGTCACTCCTGACCTATGGCACAGATTGACCAAGATCTGGGGGATGATCCACTGGAAATGCTTGACTTTCCCTGGGGTTTCAACCACTTTGGTTTCTGTTTTTTAAAATGATTCACTGTGACAAGCTTCCTGAGCCCGGTGAATGGAAGGAAGACCTAAACAAGATTAAACAAGACTCCAATCTTGCTTTAGGGCAAGAAATTCCCTGGAACTGGCCCCCAGAATCCAAGGAGAAGAGAAGTCATTTGCCTGGAGAGTTTTAAATTTTTGTTTAGAATCATAGAGCTGGACAGGACCTTGGTGATCTGGTCCAATATGCTTGTTTTATTGATGAGGAAACTAAAGCCCAGAAAGAGGGATGATGTTATCCCAGAAACACAGCTAATAAGAAGCAGAGCTAAGCCTAGAACATCTCCTAAAAAGAATGGAGTAAAGCCTTGAGTATCATAGCTGGAAAGAACCTTAGAGGCTTGTTGCCTCTCATTTTACAAATAAGGAAACTGAGGCCTGGAGAGAGTAGATGACTTGCCCAGAGTCACACAGGGAGTAACAGAGGCTAGAGTTAATTCAGGTTTTTTAGCTCCAAATCCTGTGCCCTTTCCACCCTACCATGCTGTCTCCCTGTTTCTAAGGATATCAGTCAGCCACTAAACATTGACTAAGCACCTACTATGTGCCTTGTGCCATGCTAAGTGTTGAGGATATAAAGAAAGGCAAAACCAATGTCTACTCTCAAGGGAGTTTACAATCTAACGGGGGAGATGGCACATAAACAACTATGTACTAACAAGTTATAGACAGGATAAATGTGAAATAATCAACAGAGAGATGGCACTAGAATTAAGGGGGATTGTTACCAGCTCCATAGATTTCACTTCCCAAACCATCCTTCATACAGATGCTAAAATAATCTTCCCAATGCACAGGTCTGATCATGTTACTACCCTGCTCATAAGCCCTCCTTGGCTCCCTATTGCCTCTGGGTTAGAAATACCAGCCCTTTAACTTGGCCTTTCAAGTCAACTACACTCTGATCCCCAGCTATCTTCTTCCTTACTCCCCATTAAAATTAGCCTTGTTTCACCTTACTCCCTTTCACGTGCTCTCTGTTTCATGTATTATTTTCTCTTCTTCTTTCCTTTCAGAGTTGTCCCTTCCTTTGGAGCTCAGCTCGGTACTGTTTTTCTCTGGGAAAGCCACTCCTTCCACCCATGTTGAATGTTCCTTCCCTCGTCAAGGGCACCTTGCCTGGATCTCTCCTTTGTCCCCAATGGGACCTTTGTAGGGTTCTTATCTGTGCACACGGCACAACCCACTGTTAGAATGTCAGCTCCTTGAGGGCAGACGAGTAGGCGAAAGGTCTTATACTTTGTAAGTGTTTAATAAATGCCGGCTGAATTGAATTGAATTGGAATGCGTCGAATTAAATTGAACTGATTTGAGTGAAAGTAGCCACTCCCTAATGAGTCCAGAAGGAAAAAGATAGCTCCATCCACTGGAGCCTTCCTATGATGGTACTCTTGCGGTCCACATGGACCACCACAACAATAATAAAAAGACTACGATTTATAAGAAAGTTAGTAATAGAGCCCCTTGGGATGGACTTGTAGGACACTGATTTCTTTTTGCCTTTTATTAGCTCGTCTCCTACAGTTCATCTGCCAGGACACTAGGGCCTGATCATCTACCCTGCCATAGTGTTCCACTTCCTGCCTAGGATCATAGCTTTAGAAGGCAACCTCCTCATTTTACAGGTGGGAAAACTGAGGCCCGTGGAGATTCACTGGCTTGCCAAAAGTCACCCTGGGCATCAAGGTGGCACAGTGGATCGAACACTGGACTAGGAACCAAAAAGACTCATCTTCACGAGTTCAAATCCAGCCTCAGACACTTACCAGCTATGTGACCCTGGGCAAGTCACTTCCCCCTGTTTGCCTCAGTTTCCTCAGCTGTAAATGAGCTGGAGAAGGAAACAGCAAAGCATTCCTGTGTCTCTGCCAAGAAAACCCCAAATGGGGTCAGGAAGAGTCAGACACAACTGAAAAATGACCTGACAACAACAAAGTCACCCAGTAATAAATAAGGTAGTAGACATCACATGTGGGATTTGAACATAGTTCCTCTCACTCCTGAGTCAGGGCTCTTTCTACCCTAGGACTTCTAGACTAGGTACTCTAAAGGCCCTTCTCTCACTTCCCTCTCACATCCCCATCATGAGGAAATTAATCAGCTCAATTTTGAAATTCACCTTAGTTGGGGTGATCTTAGGTTGAGTCAATCATCACCTTAATCTTTTTTATCTAACTCCCCTACCCCACCCCACCCCCATCCCCTAGACTGTCCAGACCATCCAGCAATGTGCTGGGACGCCAGTGTCCACCCAGTGTAGACATCTCACCATCTTCCTTGCTGTCACTTAGAACCTACCTCCACCTTTTCACCCCCTGCTTAAGGAACAATAAGAAAATGAATACATTGCTACTGGGAAGGTTGAAACAATTTACTGCTCTGTTCCTCTACTTGTAATTCTTATGTCTGCCAACATCAGGGCTCCCTTCCCTGGCCGCTTATTCTAGATACATGCTGTTTTCCTCAATAATAAAGTACCTATTAGGGGCTAGACACTTCATATATACTGTCTCATCTGGGCCTCAGAACAACCCTGTGAGGTAGGTGCTATAATAGTCCTCATTTTATAGATGAGGAAACTGAGGCAAACAGGGTGAAGTGACTTGCCCAGGGTCACACAGCTAGTAAGTGTCTGAGTCTGGATTTGAATTCAGGTCTTTCTGCTTCCAAGTCTTTCTCTCTAGCCACCTAACCTATGTTCCTGAGGTCCTTTCTGACTGATAGTTTCACTTACATCCTATTAATAGGGTCTTGCCACTGAAAAGCTCAATTTCCTTAAAACAGATTTTTAGAAACTGCTCACTTATGGTTTTGCCTTTCTTAACCAGCACAGCGACTTCCGCACAGCGGACATGGAATAGATGCTGCTTTTTGTTGCTGGAAAAACAAAGAAAAGTTTACTGTCAATTCAATTTCCTGCACCACTGGAGAGCCAAAGAGGCCTCGAGGCAAATTACAAGGAAACAAAACAACTCATTTTCTTTAGCATACTTTTCTAACTAGAAAATAACTTAAAATTGAGGGGTATTTCATATTTGTGGAGGGAGAATCAAAAGGGACAGTAAAGAAAAATTCAAGATATTTGCCCTTGCAAAAGGCCCATTACTATTTTCTCAGAATTCCAAAAAATACTTTAAATAAATGTATGTATGGGGGGGGCGGGGAGGAAATGTTCAAATAGTTCTAGAGGCTTTCTTTTTTAAAAAAAATGATATTGTTTAGTCTGGCAAATGTGATCTTGCCAAAAGCATAAATAAACTCATCATTTATCCCTAATAATTTCTGTAAAATAGCTCTACACACACACACACACACACACACACACACACAAAACCTAGTGACAAACACAGGATCATAGAACTGGAAAGGGCATTAGAGTTCCAATTTTTCATTTTACAGATAGGAAAACTGAGTCTCAGATGGGTTAAGTGACTCCCTCAAATTGACCCCAGGGTGTAAGTGACAGAGAGAGGATTTGAGGCTTTGACCCTAGAACCCCTGAATCGGCCACACAGACTCTCGCTTCCCATAGAGGACATCCTTCACATTCATAACAATCAAATAGCAATCTGTCTAAATTTACCCTTCATATTTTCACCAAGTATTGTGGGTTCTGTCGACCTCAGGGATTTTTATTATTTGTTTATGCAAACAGCTACTGAAAGGTTGCATAAGCTCTCTGCTCTCTGTCTTTCTCCTTTTTTTTTTCCCAGCTGTTTCGTAGTTTCCTGGTAACCATTCAGTCATTTATTTCGACACCTCTGACCTAACATAAAGGCAGACCCACAGCTACTCACCCTCACACACACACCTCTTTCCTTGAGTGCCGGTCTTTAGCAGGAAACTCCTCGGTGACGTTCTCTCTCTGCAAAGCCAAGCCATGAGCAGCAAAAACTGCTGCGTCTTCCGTGATGACTTTATTCCTCGGGTGTTGCCCCCAGTGCTGGGGCTGGAGTTTGTGTTTGGAACCATTGGCAATGGTCTGGCCCTGTGGGCTTTCTGCTTTTCCCTGAAGTCCTGGAAATCTAGCCGGATCTTCCTTTTCAACCTAGCTGTGGCTGACTTACTTCTGATCTTCTGTCTTCCCTTTCTGACGGATAACTATGTCAGAAAATGGGACTGGAAGTTTGGTGACATCCCTTGCCGGCTGATGCTTTTCATGTTGGCCATGAACCGGCAGGGCAGCATTATCTTCCTCACGGTTGTGGCTGTGGACCGATACTTTCGGGTGGTTCACCCCCATCATGCTCTGAACAAGCTATCCAATAGGACAGCAGCCATCATCAGCTTCCTTCTGTGGGGTGTCACCATCGGCCTCACTGGCCACCTCCTCATCAACTCCCATGTGAAAAAGATGGGAGACTCACAGTTCTGCAGCAGCTTTGCCATCTGCCCAACCTTTGGCTGGCATGATGCCATGTTTCTCCTGGAGTTCTTCCTGCCCCTTGGCATCATCATATTCTGCTCCACCAGCATCATCTGGAGTCTTCGGAGGAGGCAGTTGGACAAGCAGGCAAAGATCAAGCGGGCCATCCGATTTGTCATGGTGGTCGCCATCGTTTTTGTGATCTGCTTTTTGCCCAGTGTGGCTGTGAGAATACGAATCTTCTGGCTCCTCCACTCACAGGGCACCAGCAACTGTGAGATCTACCGTTCAGCAGACCTGGCCTTTTATATCACCCTCAGCTTCACCTACATGAATAGCATGCTGGACCCCTTGGTATACTACTTCTCCAGCCCATCTTTCCCCAACTTCTTCTCCAAGCTGATCACTTGCCATCTTTGGCAAAAGTCAACAGGAGACTCTGATAACAACCGGAGCACCAGCGGGGATCTCACAGGGGACTTGTGCCTCGCCAGTTCCAGTTGTGGAAATACCAACGCCGGAAAGAGTTTGCCAGATGCATTAATGATGAACTCCAGTGTGGCGTGGAACCCTACAAATACAGCCCCAGCATCTCCTTAAACAATCCAGGTGATGGCAGAGAAGGGAGAATGAGGCTACTAGAACTAAGACTTCTAGAAATGGGTCTTGTTGGTCTATGGATCGATACCACTGCACTGGTCCATAGATACCTGTTGTCTTCAGAGCTGATGGCTCTGATGAACAAGAGAAACAGCACAGTGACTTTCAATTCTGATCTGCAAAGCTCATCTTCTGGAAGGCTTGGCCTAATTTATGCATCTCAAAGCATCGTCTAGATCCCAAATGTAACAACAGTGGAATTGAGTCCAGAAGAGACCATAGATTTGGGCCAGGCACTCTGCCAGCCCTGGAGCTTCTGGTCAGAATCTGCGTCTTGTTCCACTTTTCCCTCCACGAGTGGAAGTAGAGGAGGTGGGGGAGGGTGGGTCCTCCACTCCAGGAGCAACGTCCAGCAGGACTGTGTGCAGAACCGGGGTGCCTGGTCCTTTCAGAGGCTGGCCAGTCCATCCGGGATCGAAGAGACTCCCCATGTCCGCGTTCTCCAGTGGTGAAAGGAAGAGAATAAACACAAGGAAATGCAGATCCCATTAGAAGGTGGGAAACTGAACAGTGATACTAAGTGATATTAAATGACATGTTCAGTACAGCTAATGGGCTACTAATCGATCCCTAGCATGTTTACACTTGAGGGTTGAGAAGCTGGAAAAAAACAAACAAACCACCCTCTCCGGTCTCAGAAGAAAGCTGCCTCTTCATTGTTTGCTTTTGTCTTTTAAAGGGAAAATGCTACTACCTACGGGTCAGAGGACAGTGGTTTGTGTGGTTTGTGCGCGTTTTTAACCACCTCTGTTGTCCAGTAGTTACCATGATTTCATTTCTTTAATAAAATTTAATAGAAAAAATCCCCGCTTGTGTTGCATGTGATGGGTCACAGAAAAGCTCGTCTGTTCTTTGAGCTGTTATTTCGAGTTCTTGAGTGTGTACCATAGGAAAACTAAAACAGAACGGGGACAAGCATTAAGAGTTTTCACTGAGGGAAAAAGGGGCTTCTAAGTATTATAGTTTCAGTTCCGAATCTCAGCATGGCAAGAAAAAGTCCTGGTTTGTGGGGAATTAGTCACCTGGCTTTGCTGCTAAGCTCTTTTCTGGCTCCCAGGCACTCCTGGATTCCTTGGCGAGTAGAAGCTTGTCCCTGACCTCCTTAGTTCTTGATAGGAAACTTATAGATGGTCCCACCCTATCTGCCTGAACAGAGATAAATAAATAATGAGAGTAATCTCGGGACATGTTTACTCTGCAACACTTCTGAGAATCAAAGAGCTATTGGGAACCCAGGGACCTTGGGGAGCAACCTCCCCACTTAAAGATGAGGCATCGGACCTTTAGGGAGGTGACAAGATCATGGGCTCATAGATGTAGAGCCGAAAGAGACCTCAAAAGCCATCTCGTCCAATTTTCTCTCTTCCCTTCCCCTCCCTCCCATTTTATAGGTGAAGAAACTGAGATCTAAAGAGAGGAAATGACTTGTCCTGGGATTACACAAGTAGTAAATGACAGAACAGGATTTGAACCCAGGTCTCCTGACTCCAAATCCAGTACTTTTTCTATTTAATTGCCTTTAGTTACTTTTCTTGTTAAAAATTTAATTGACATCTTTTGTTTTCTTACATCATCTAAATTTTTGTGTCCCTCCCCCAACTCAATCCAGGAGAATTATCCCTAATAACAAATTATGAAAGAAAAGAGGGAAGAGGTAAAAACCCCCAGCAAAACTGATCAGCATATTTTTTAAAATCTGATAATATATAAAATGCTCCATATCCGTGAATGAGCCACACTTGTGGAGCCCCCACCTCTGCAAATGAGTCAGGGGACTTTGATTGCCTTTCAATTGATCATTCAGCAAGCATTTAAGCTCTTATTCTGTGCAGGGTGTACGAGACACTAAGCTGGGCTCTGGAGCAGCAGAGAGAAGAAAGCTAACTAGACCCTGCCTTCAAAGAGCTCATATGCTAACAGGGAGAAACACTACGTGCACAAAAAAGTATACATGATATATACAAAGTGGATACAAAGTAATGCTAGAGGGAAAAGCGCTAGGAGCTGGGTTAGGGTTAGAAGATTGAGAGAGGTTGCCTGCAAAAGCCTGCATGTGATTTGTATTTTTAAAAATCAAGCACATTTTTATTGATAGCTTTTATTTTTTCATTATCTACATTTCCCCCTGTACCTCTTCTCCTTCCATGCCCCATTATTATAAAAAAAAATTTTTTTATAGAAGATGAGGTAGAAAAGAACAAAAATTCAGCAAAACCCATTGATATGTTGAAGAAACCTACCATTCTATCCAATGTTCTACACCCATAGACATCACTCCTATTCATACCTCTGCAAAGGAATGAGGGGAGATATCTTTTCATATCTCTTTTCTGGGGCCAAGGTTAGTCATTTCCGATTGTTCTTTCCCTGTACATCGTTGACTAAGTCTTGAAAGAAGCCTGGGATTCTAAGAGTTGGAGAGGAGTTGGGGAAAACATTCCTGGCATGGAGGATACAACCAGTGAAAAGGCACATAGATCATCGCTTTTACAAAGAGGAAGAGCCTGGTGCTCTGAGAAAGACCAGGGATTTTCCCTAACTCAGAATCCATGACTCAGTGGAGGAATCAGATTCAGAAATGTATAATTCTTAAAACAGCGTGAGTCTGCAAGTATCTACAAAACTATCCCTCATGCAAAGAGGAGGATTGGTTCCCTTGAGTAAAGCAAATGGGCAGGGCAGAAAATAAGTTTTCTCTCTTTTCTCTTATCATCCATTTCAGCCGATCCCTCCAGGGACATTTTGTTGGCTTCAGAAAGTCTCCAGCAGTAACATGGAAGTATATTTTGTGGGAGGGCGTGATTAGTTCTACTCTATGACAACAACTTAAAATAAATCACAATATATCTCAAATATGTTGAGCGCCTTTTAATAAAGTCATGAGTCTATTATCCACAGGAGTTCTAATCTAAACTGGTCTTTAAACTATTTGCCCTTTGGGACCCCTCCTCTTGGTCCACGGTTCAATTAAATTGACTGTCCTCTGTATAAAGTAGGACTTTATTTCTTCTAAACAACCTCCTTTCCAAGCACCAAAGTGATGCACCCTAGTTGTAGTATTCCAAACACTGAGGAAAAATGCTATGTTTATCATAATTTTATAAACTTCAATTATGGCCATCTTAGAGATTTAATCTTGCCTGTTTTTCTTTAGTATGTTCCCTTGATCATGTCATTGTTCAGTCATGTCTGACTTTCCATGACCCCATTTGGGGTTTTCTTGGCAAAGGTACTGGAGTGGGTTGCCACTCACTTTACAGATGAGGAAACTGAGGCAAAAAGGGTTAAGTGACTTGCCTAGGGTCACACAGCTTAGCTTGATTTGAACTCAGCTCTTCCTGACCCCAGGCCCAGCAGTCTATTCACTGTAACACCCAGCTACCTCCCTTGATCATACTCATAACATTTCTCTGGACCTTCTCTAGACACCACAGTACAGTAAATTGGACACTGGTCTTGGAGTCAGGAAGATCCAGGTTCAAATCCCACTTCGGATGTGTGATCCTGTACAAGTCATTTAATCTCATTCTGTCTCTGTTTCCTCATCTGTAAAAAAGATATGGTTGGACTCAGCTGCTTCTGATGGCTCTGTAAATCTAGGACCCTCAGCACTTTGTGTTCTTAAGGTGGGGTGAGCTCACCAGAAAGAAATACATATGGGGGCAGCTAGGTGGCGCAGTGGATAGAGCACCACCTCTGGAGTCAGGAGGACCTGAGTTCAAATGCGGCCTCACACACGTAATACTTACTAGCTGTGTGACTCTGGGCAAGTCACTTAACCCCAATTGCCTCATGCCAAAAAAAAGAAAAAGAAATACATACGATGTTTTAGGCATGGGTGCTATAATTTTATACAAAGCTAGGGATAATAGCAAATGCCATTTACATAGTGCTCTGAAATTTACAAAACACTCTATATACATGATCTTATTAATGATCCCTACAATGACTTTGTGAGACAGGCACTACAGGTATGATCATCCTCATTAGCAGATGAGAAAACTGAGGCTCAGAAGGGGTCAGTAGAATGGAAGCACCTTAACAGTAGGTACTGCTTTTTTTTTTTTTTGTCTTTGTAACCCTAGCTACTAGTTCATCCAATGGCACACAGGAGGTGCTTAATAAATGCATGCTGCATTAAACTGAATGACTTACCAAAGGTTTAACAGTTGTTAAGTGTCAGAGGTAGAATCTGAACTGAAGTTTTCCTGACTCTTATCAGCTAGGCCAAACCATCTTTGAAAAATATCAAGATAGCTAGGTGGCAAAATAGACAGAGTGCTGGGCTTGGAATCAGGAAGATCTGAGTTCAAATTCAGCCAAATTCAGACACTTACTAGCTGTGTGACCCTTGGCTAGTGACTTAACCTCTGTCCTCCTCAGTTTCCTCAACTGTAAAACAGGGGTAATAATATCACCTACCTTCCAGAGTTCTTGTCAAGATCAAATGAGACAATATTTGTAAAGTGCAGAGTATATAGTAGGTGCTTAATAAATGCTCATTTCCTTCCTTCTTTCTAACACCTTTCTTAGTGATTGTGAGCAGTTAGATGACATTTCTGGATGCAACAGATAACAAGATGTCTTCATAGAATGGCTTAGAACATCGGTTCTCCAAGTGTGGTCCCTAGGGGTCTGCAAGATTAAAACTATTTTCCTAATAACACTAAAATGTTATTTCCTTTTAAAATACTTCTCCCTTTCAGCCATGTGAGGCTGAATTTTCTTCATATACTTCAACCAAAATAACATATCACAACAGATTGAATGCAGAAGCCCATAGGAAAATCTAGCTGTCTTCTCTTTAGTCAGACATTAAAGACAATAGTAAAAATATGTAAAACAATGCCACTCTTCTCATTAATTTAATTTGGAAAATATTTTTTAACTAACAAATGTCATTTATGCTAACATGTAATGGTGTTATTATTTTAATAAATAATTAATAATTATTTATTTTATTATATGATAAAATAATGATGATGATGATGAATTAATAAATAAATATTTCAAAATTTTATCAGTTTTCATTTCTAACATGGTAAATGTTCATAGATATAACCCACATAAATAAAAGCTCTTTGGGGTCCTCAACCATTTTTAAGAGTGCGAAAAGTTCCAAGGCCAAAACGGTTGACAACTGATGGTCTAGAGTACCTTATAGATTTTTTTTCCGGGTTCTCTTGATTGCTACTCAAAGATAAGTCAGCAGCATTTGAGGTATGTGGCACTGATGATGGTGCTTGAAGTCTTAGACTACAACCACCATTTTTGTTTTGTTGTTTCAGTCGTGTCCAACTGTTCATGACCCCATTTGGGGTTTTCTTGGCAAAGGCACTGGAGTGGTTTGCTGTTTCCTTCTCCAGATAATTTTACAGATGGGGAAACTGAGGCAAACAGGGTGAAGTGACTTGTCCAGGATCACACAGCTAGTAAACATCTGAGGTCACATTTGAACTCGGGTCCTCCTAATTTCAGGGCTGTCACTCTATCCATTGCACTACGTGGCTGCTATACGGCCCCTGTAGGGAGATGAAAACCTAAGAGCTGGGCACTGCCAACAAACTTGGTGCTGGCAATCCATTTTTCTGTCTTCACTGTCAGATTGCTGTCAGGTTCCATGAAGATGGAATTGAACTCTCTATACTTTCCCTCATCAGACTTCATCTGCACTATTATATTTGGCTTAGGGTTCTAAGACTGAAGAAAGACATGAGGAAGCTGAGAAGTGTTCAGTAGAGGGTGACAGATAACGAAGGATCTAGAGTGCAAGATATTTGAGTATTGATCAATAT